TAAATATAGAAAAAGGATAAATAGAAAAAAGATAACAGCCTGAGAGGATTTTCAGGAAGGGAGTGGCAAAGGTTTTGGATTGTAACTTGATATTGCGATAAATGTTTATTTTTTTTCGCTGTTATGGTTGTATAAGTAACAAGGAAATTAACGCATGGATGTAAGTGATGAATCCATGTATGTTTGATCTGTTTACCTATATACTTATGTATGTACAACTGAGCATATTATCCGCTATCTTATTTGTATATTGAGCCTCAGTCTTCGGGAAACATAAGTGTGATGTGCTCGCCAATAAAACCGTAAAGATAACTTGATTTTACCTCCATCCCCTGCAATGTCCGAAACCCTGGAATGTTTGTATCCAGATTCAGATGGACAGATTCCATCATACATATCCAATCTCTCTGCTCCCGATTTCGCCGATTTAGTGCACCCAAGGACCTTTGTTTCCTGGCGCTCTCTCGATAGAAATTGTTCTTTCCTGTAACGCAGAAGGAAGTCCAGGTATCTACGGTCCCCATACCTTTAAAGATACTAAGAATAATTCATTTGGTATTGATAAAGTTTCGCATTGTAGCACTCTGTATGGCCACTGAAACAGCAAAGGAAATGTGTAATAATATGATCACATAAATAGATTCATTTATCTTGGTAACAGTAGAAAGTAAAGATACTCCCCTTAACATCACAGTAATGGTTCCTCCTATCACAATTTTATTTATATCGCTGAAATAACTGCTTTTGAAGCTTCCTTCCTCCACACACACACACACAGCGCCACAAAGCAACAACAGCCTGGACTTGTAAAAAAATAAAAATGTGTCCCTTTGTCTTCTGACGAAAATTCCTTTTGGTCACTTGCGACCGACGTCTAAACATAGTTCTGTTTTATTGTGTAACTTCTATCAACAATCTTTTGAAACTGGAGTAAGAATAGGGGTATAAAAGAGGAGAGGAGAAAAATGACTTTCCACTTCATCTATTCTCTCTTACTAAACGTATCAGTGTGTGCGTATCTGCGTGTGTACACTGCGAGGCTAAAAATGTATATATATACATATATATATATATATATATATATATATATATATATATATATATATATATAATATATATATATATATATACATATATATACATACATACATACATATAATATATATATATATATATATATATATATATATATATATATATATATATATAGTTTATCACATCCATTCTGCTACAGATATACTTCAAAACTTCTGAAATTTTATAATACACCGATCACCTCTTTTCCCGCATAATACCCAATATATATATATATATATATAAATATATATATATATAATATATATATATATATATATATATATATATATATATATATACATATATATATATATATATATATATATATATATACCTATTCATATATACATTTATATCTACTTTTCCTTGATATTCTACCAGTAAATAGAAGTATTATTTTTCTTACTGTTTTCATAAGATTAATCTCGATCAGTTTCATAACAGCCTTAGGAGATATATTCTGAGTGTATTATATACATTCGGTAAAATCACGTAATTTAACAAACAGAAAATGAAACAAAGAACAGTGAAAGTACACTCAATAGAATAAAAACTCACTAGAATCAACAAAAATTAGTTAAAAGACTTTACATTACATCATCTTGCTGACCTGCGTTCGATCCTGCGCGCTACCAGTGAATGGCAACCCCGGCCATTCCTTGCTCACAGGAGGAGATCTAGAAGGCAAAATAAAACAGACAGTATGATGCCACAGCAAAGAATATCCACTGCAGCAAATGGAATTGAAACTAAGTGTATTTCACAAAAGTAAAACAAATCGCCACACTAACACATGTCCAGGGTATATACCTGTATGGAACATGTTAGAAGTTTCTATTCCATTTTGTCAATTTCCATTCTTTTAAAATGAGTCATTCTTGAAACGCTCTGAAATTTCATAATTCGTTCCTTCATCCATTTCCCATATTTTTTCATCCTTTTCCTATAACTTCTTTTAAAAAATCTGTCACAAGGATTTTTAAAAAATCAAATCAAATCATCCATGAATAATAATAAGGCTTTGAACTACGAATTTATAAACAATTTTTACGATTATAAAATGAATGACCTTACACTAATTAACTTGCATAAAAGATACATAATATTTTTTTTAAGGACATACCTGGGATACCAAACCACCCCGCCTACACCACACATGATCACTGAATGTAAAACTTTTCTCTCTCAGCTCTCAGTGTATTTGCAAACATAACTCCCCTACATAAGCCTAAAGGTGTTCCCTCTACGATGGATGTCGTACATTTTTGTCGGCTTCTGAAATTAATCAGTACATGCTCCATCCTTTTATTCATTGTTATTATCATTATTATTATTATTATTATTATTATTATTATTATTATTATTATTATTATTACCATTATTATTATTATAATCATCATCATCATCACCATCATCATCATTA